TGCAAATAAAACAAGGGGGAAGGGCCCTGAGCCACCCTCTGAGCTGGGGTGAGACCTCAGGCCAGGGAGGGGGCTGACACGAGGTATCCCATATGCACATAAATAAATTGGGAACTCTCTGTCTAAATAGGGGTTTTACAGCTTCAGCTCTGGAATGGGCTCCGCAGCTCCTTTCTTCTTTCTGAAGGGCAAAAGGAGACATCAGGAGAAAAAAAAAAAAAAGAAAAATCATCATTGCATATTCAAGAATGCAATAGTTGCCTATAACATTCCTGTTGCAAAAGGGAGGCAAAAAAAGGTAACTGTGGTCCTGTCATGGAAATTTATCGTTTAACAGTTAAGATTTCACCCAAGCTTTCCTATTTCCTTCTTTAGAGACAGAAAGGATGCGTTGTGTAAATTCTGTAAAATACACGTGCCTGAAAATCCTAAGATGTGCTAAACTGACCAGTGGGTGATACTGGCGTTCCTTCCAGTCTGACAGACTTTTTTGTTAGGTCAGTGGAGGTCACAAACACAACAGTATTGCTTCTTTAGCCATAAAATAAAGAGAACAAGTTTTTTCTGTTTGGCTGGTGTTTGTTTGGGTTTTTAGCAAGAAGGAAGTGATCAGATACTTTGGTGTCCTTTAGGAGTGTGAGAAATTGCTCTCCCAACTATTGCATGAAAGAGCAATTATTTCTGTTTAATCCCCTGGCTTAGGGGAGAGAGCTATGTATATGTCTGAGAAGAAAGAGGCTGCTGTATCTTGCACTCACCTGCTTGGCCAGGTAATCAGTGATAGTTGAATAAATAACTGAATTTGTTTTAAAGTTATTTCATCCCTTGGGTGCCTTCTGGACATAAAGCGTATGTAAAGCTGGACAAAAATTTGAGGGTATTAAAAAAAAAAAATCAAACAATTTACTACTAAACCTGCTTGGATAAATTCTTCGCTGGGCAAGGTAAAAATATAGACTGTGTAGGAGATGCACATCAGAATGACTTGTCCATACTGTGGACAGCCGACTTGGTTTGCCAGGTCACTGTGCCAGGTATTAAGCTGTCCTTTCTTTCTGAAAGGGTGGTATATTCCTTTAACCAAAGAGGAATTATGCAGCCCAAGTACAGTGCAGTTAAATGTTAAACATATCTTAATGACTTCCTAGCATTTTCCTTGGAAAGGATACATGGTAGAAAGGGCTTCCTAGCAATACTAATAAACCCTTCAGTACAAGGTGTTTTAAAAACAAGTAAGCAGTTGTTTTTTAATCAGCATAGGATGAGTGATAGTGACAAAGAGTACTGCGTGGAAGGTTTTAAACCAATTTCTAGCCTGTTTATTGTGTAATATCAACTGATAATCGTTTATGATTCATTTCTTGTACATTTTTGCTTGCCTGCCTGTTTCTTTTGTATCTGAAACCATGTGATTAGATATACACAGGTTTAAAACCTCCCATCATTTTCATGTCTTTCATTAAACTAATCCGTGCTTGTGTGTATAATATAAGCACATCAATTTATTACCTTACAACACAATTCATTGTTTCATGAAGGATTTTAATCAAAACAGAATCCTTGTGTGCTAAGTGATTGCAGTAGGGCTTGGTAGTCTCACTTACAATTTGAGGGATTGTGAATTATGTGGAATAGCTGGTTTAAATCTATTGTAATTTACACAGCTCATGTCTTCCAGCTTGCACAGATGAGTTGACTAAGGTGCATGAAGTTAGGGAAGGATGTTTGGGATATGTTGTTTTGAATTATGTAGGAGGGGGGGGAGAAACACATAGCTTTACTTTGCAGGAGATCTTTGATGCTTTGCTTAGATGCAGGAGATCTTTTTACAGTTAAAATATTTTTATGATTTTCTTAAAAGTCTAGATTTCATACAAGTTAGCTTGGAGCTCTTCATCCCAGATGCAGCTACTGATCAGTGCCGCATGGGTAAAACTATAAAGCACTATCGCATAAGAGAGGTTATGTACATCTACAGTTATTATCAACCATGTGAAATTTTGAAACGTGATAATTTAAATGAAACTGATATTTGGTTTCTGACTTCTCTAGAGCTGCTTTTTACCCCATTCCCAGCTAATGTTCTTAAAATACTTGTTTTTCCTCAGTTACTTTGCATGAGCAGATCATGGGTTTTTTTGTACCGACATAAAATTTGCTTGAACTTGTGGAGCAGCGGTTGTACTTGCTGTGGAAGAAAAGGAAGGAAATGTAAGAAGTTTCAGAGTCCCTGCTGAATACTACTTTTCCATCTGATCTGTCAAAGCAACTAGTGGGAGTATGAATATAAGTGACTTGGGCTTTTTCAGTATCATTGTGCTTCTGTGGCTCGGAAGTTAATTACAAACCCTGAGATAAGGAAGCGGTTTTATGGTGGAAAAGAAAGCATGTTTGGTGCGGCTTTGACAGCTGCTGCTTGTACACAAAGCAGCATTTGGTGTTGTTATTTGAAGTGGCATTGATGCACAGAAATCTTGATGGCACTGTGAACTTTTCTCTACAACTACAGCCATTAACGTGATGAACCTAACCAGCAAAAAACTTTACCAGCAGCTTTGTGAGTTTGAAGTAGCTTCTTTACATTTTAAAAAAAAAAAAAAAGTATGTTCCATAAGTGCTAAGTAATGATAACTTAAGCATGCAAGCTGAAAGACTTGTGCATGCGGTCAGGGGAGGGAGCCTGTACCTGGCAGAGGTTTTGTATTCGTGCCTTTGTTGCAGGTCTTCTGGGAAGGGCAATGATGAGCACTTCCATGTTTCCCTCCACTTTTTCTAGGCAGTCTCAAAGCTGCAGCAGGTTCTCGCAGAGACCCTTCAGGTGATGTTTGCCTTGGTTCACATGCTGTGTTACCTGCCTTGCTGCAGGCAGGTGCTGTCAGCCCGCCTTGTGCTGCTCCGGGTGCTGGCCGGGTCTCAGAGCAGGGAGCCAGCGGCGTTAGTGCTCCTGCAGCAGCGGCCGACTGCAGCTTGCTCGAGCTGCTGAAGATGGGCTTGTGGAAGTGGCAGTGAAGTTTCCAGTAGCAGCTGTGTTCCCAGTTCTCTTGGGAAGCTGCTGAAAACTACCCAGTCACTGTTGTGTTACAAAGGCAACACGAGTTTTGGCAGACCGTGCTGATTTCGGAAGCAGCTTCTCTTCCTTCCCATCCATGGTCTTCAGTGTTACTCTTGAATCAGTGTTGCAGGCTTCCCACGAGACATGCTGGAAGGTCTTTTCTGTAGATGTCTGTAGTTGCCTCTTTATGAATTTCTACATACTGGGGGGGGAGGAGGGGTATCGGAATGGTGCAGAATTAAACCCCCGTGATTTTTTTCTGGTGCACTGGCTTCCTCCTTTGTCCATCTGTCCACTTTCCTGGCCTTTCCCACTCCCTTGCATCCTGCATCCTCTCTTGTGCTCTTGCGCCCCTGGATGAATTTGGCATTCATATTGGTGGATCTGTTATAACATTGGCTGGGTTCGAAATCAGCCAGGGTGAAATCTGCCTCTGGCTGTACTCAATGTGAGAGCAGGGTGCTTGCCTGGCCGCAGGCCAGTTTCAGCTTGTCTTGCTGAGGGAGCTTCCTGCTGGCTCCGGTGGAAGCTGCAAAAGGTACCTATGAGTATTTGACCTCCTAGCTACAAAACCCACGGAGATGTTCCTTTCCCCTTTACTCTGTGCTTAAAGAAGCTTTTATAAACCAGTAAGTAAACCCCTTCAACTGGCTTTTCAAAAAGTGTTCAAGCTTGATCTATTTCAAGACCCCTGTTGAAGTTGGTTGGGGTGTCAGGGCGATCAAAACACTCAAGTGACTTGAGTTTGAAGCTGAGCTCACCTCACCTAGAGCATTCTCCCATATTCTCTCGTGCTCTGAACAAGCTCAAAAGTGATGGATGCCTTCACAGCGTGGCAGTGCCCCAGGACCTGTGGCTGAGTACCTGTGGAAAATTGCTGAGTGCTGCCGCAGTCCCAGGCTGCTGGAACGACGGCAAAGCAGCAGGGAAGTGCATGGTTTCCAGTGCCTGTGGGAAGTTATCCTTTCTGCTTTCGTTTAAAGAAATTTATGCAGCTTCCCGTCTTTTCTGCCTTTCTGCCAAACTTGCTGTGCTCCTCAGCAAACCCAATTAAAAGTCCTTTGGGGACGAATTGACCTCGGTGGCATTTCCTGCGTGCTTGGAGGAAGGCAAGTGTCCTGCTCTGGAGAGTTGCAAAGGCTTAAATGCTCTGCAAGGCCAACCACTTATCTGGTTGGAATGACTACATGAAATTCGTTTGAACCCCTTCTTACAGTGGCACAGTCTTAAGTTGATTAAACCATCAGTCCATCACACCTGTGAGCTTCAGCGCCCCAGCAGCTCATTCTTACCCTCGTGCCAGGCTCAGGCATGATGAGTGGGATCAGGGAACTGGTCGGCCACACGCCAGGTAGTTCTGTTTGGGCCAGGTCAGTTGACCACTGAAACACCGTGTTGTCAGCCGACGGCAGCCCCTGATCTCAAGCCTAGGGAGATTTCAGCATAATCAAATCGCCTTTCCACAGGAGCGATAAAACTGGGGAATTCATAGCCTCATGCGTACACCCATGGCCGTTTCTTTGGTCTCTCAAGATGTCATCTGCTCTTTTCTCAAATTTTGCTTGAACAGGCAGGTTGTTTAATTCTGGAACAGCAGACGGCAAAAGGCTCTGGTGGTTTTGCTGGCAGAATGCTTTATTGTTGCTATGGGAATAGTCCTTGCACTGCTCTAGAGCCAGAGTGACTCCTGGCCGTCTAGCAGGAGATCTGTTACACCATGTTGGTGGACACTGGGGGCTGAGTTGGATTCTCAGGATTTAAGGAATGTAACTTAAAGCTTTCTTCCACGAGTACAACTAGAGGACAAAGTAGATACAAGTGTTACCTCTGTAACAGGTGTACTGTTTCACTTTTGTGATCGCTGCCTTTTAAGGATGAGTATCTTGAACTGTGAATACAAGACAGAGCTGTTTACTAACTTTAAAAAATATGTTTTGTTTTTAGCTCCCAAGAAGATGAGCGGCCTATGTCACCCTTCTACGTGAGGTATTTACTCAGTTTTTTTAATTTATTTTTCTGTGTGGGATTGACTCGTTGTTGGAATTAAATGTGGGGAGTGATGCCAGGAATGCTGAACAGACTGTAATCAAACTGAAGATTAATGCGAAGTTCTTAATTATTGCTCAGCCAGTGGGATGAATGAGTCTTTGGAGATACAAACTCTGTTGCAATTTTTTTGTATTTAGAGATGAGGCTCAGGGTGTAATGCCAGTCTTGTAAATTCTTAATTAGAAGATGGGCATTTGTTTCCTCTTTTCTGCAGTTTGTTATGTAGCTTAGATGCCCGTCACGAGTAGCTTGCAATCTGTGGGCACAGGAGAGATTTTTGCCACAAGCTTTGAGGAACTGGCAGCGTGTGCTGCTCAGAAAGAAACCAGGAACCAGATGGTGAGTCAGCAGCCCATACAGCAACTGCTCCTCTGCCGCAGCCCAGGAAAGCGGGAGAGCGCCTGGGTCCCCAGCACGCCTGCCTGGAGGGAATGGTGCTCGCGCTGCGTTTCAACAAATTGCGTTTCTTGTTTTGCCAACTGGAGGGCAAAGTCACTGCTTGTAAAAGTGGCCTAATTCTGTTGACATCAGTGAAAGTTTGCTCTGCTTGCTTCAGTAGCAGGCTCAATTCCAGTGCTTTCTTTCATACTTAGTGGAAGAACAGGAGCCAGGGCAATTAACAGTGAAGGGCTGCAGAGGAGGAAGGGCCAGATATTATAATTGGGTTCTTTGATCTCTGCGGAGTTTAAACAAATAAAAAGAAATCCCTGTGGTGCTTTTTGTGAGAGCAGTGATATTTGGAATTCTTACAGTGATCTCTAAAATTTGTTAATTCTCTTGCATATATTCCTATTTATCTTTGTAGCTTGTTTTTTTTCTTAGAGAATGTTTCTAACATAAACTACAGAGAGCGGGCATTTCATGCCTACTCTTAATATGGAGACCTGCATTAAAACCATGCGGAAATGTGGGGCAGTGAACTGGTCATGGCCTAGCCTGGTTGCACGGTCTTGCCTGCCTTCCTGTTGATTCACCGTCATTCCCTGCTGTATATTTGTGCCTTGTCTGTGCTTCAAAAGCTCCAAACTGTCCAAGGAGGTTCTGCCTTTCCCCTTGGGAGATTATTTTGTAGCTGCGTGCATTCCCCTATCACAAGTTTTCCCCAGTTTAAATCCTCGTCCTGTCTTTCCATTGAAAATAGTCCCCCTCTTTCTTCCTGGCTAGATGCGACCTCCAAATGATCGTTGGCTTTCACTACGTTTCCATCTGTCCTACTGCTTAAAACTGTCCTTCCAAACCCTTTCCTGGATCATGGAAAAATGATCCAGGAAGGAGATTCTCTTCAGCTGACCTTGTCAGAATTGCCAAGGAGATGAGGAGCAAGGAGTGGACCTGAGGAGCCTGGTAGCAAAGCAGGACATTTCTGAGAGGGAGGAAGCAGGTTTGGAAATTTTCAATGGAGTTGTGGGCATACAGGATGAGGAACAAAGAATGAGCGTGTCCATTGGAGTGAAGGGATGGCTTTCTGTGGGAATATATCTTGCAAATAGGAAGGGAACAGTCAGAAATAAACACGTAGTTGGAAAGTGAAGAAATGGCTAGTAGGAGCAGAGAGGGAGCAGCACACCTTGCAACATAAACCTTGGTGCCAGACTTTTTTTGTAACATTGCTGAGACACAATTACTTGTAAATAAAGCTAACAGCTTGTAAGTCTTGCTGCTATTTATCACACATCAAAAATGTGTACTCCTGAGGTCAGTTGCCAAGTGCAGTTAATTTGGCAGGAGAGCTGGTGCTGGCTGGGCAATTCATGGTGGTTCAACAACTGAGGACTTGAGTGGGTGGCCCGTTTTTTCTGTGCAACTTGGAATGTTCTACTTGTTGCCCCAGAGCTGTGCATGACACATGTAGGAGTTGGCGTTTCACTCCATGCAAAAGGAAGGGGAGACTGTCTGCTTTAGCCGTCTTCCGGTCAAATCTGTTTGTATTGCTACCAGCCACACTTACGTAGGTTGAAATACTGTTTAAGTAATCCTTCAAGTGAATCATGAATGTCTATGTACAGAGCAGTCGCTGCAGTACTTCCATATAGATAATTACGCAACAAGTTAATTAAATGGGAACAAGAGCTCTTTAGCTTCCAAACACTGCATAATACTTGGCTTTTGCCAGACAGAAGGAGCATTGTGTCCCTCCATAAACCAGTTTTGGTAGGATCAAACCAGAGACTTGATTCTTCAGTGCTGTACCATGTCAGCTAGCAATGGAATTGTTTCCCTGGGTGTTATTTTTAGCAATAAGGCAAATGTTCGAGGTCTTAACTTTAAGTCAGAACTGTCAAAATGCCACCACTATGCTGTTTCTTAAAATGTCACTGATTTAGGGTTGTGGATTTGTTTGGGCTTTTTCTCTTTAGACATTGGGAAAATCATGGCCAAGTATAGAATTAATCACCACTGCTGCTCTGTAAGAGAATAAGCAGTCATTAATGGTACAGGAGTAAGTGATAAATGAGGCAGAATGTCACATAGGTTTGTCAAGAGAGGTGATGCCGGTACAGCCAAACCATTTTTTATAAGACTTCGCAGAGCGAGGAAGAAAAGGAGTATACCTAATCTGTCTGATGCCAGCAAAATGCTTTATATCATGCCATCTGTATGGAGAAAATGGGCATTAGTACTAGAGCTTAAAGATGGGTAGGGAGGGGGTGAGACCTACAGGTATTGCTGGTAAGAGAGCAAGGAGATTGCTAGTGGAGCTCCTTAAGTGTCACGGGCTTTTGTTCTTTAATAGCCACTGGCATAATAAAATAGAATTGTGCTCATGAATTGGGTTTATAGCAGAAATTTAAGAGGGGTGGATGGGATGGGGGCGTCCTCTGGGTATATGACAGCGTGATATGATGTAGGATGATTGAGATAGATATATATCTATATATAAAGATAAGCATGAAATACAAGATATAGGATGAAAAATAATAACATAGGTAATAAAGTCATACATCTCAGGACTAATAATGAAAATCCATTACATGAAAGGGGAGTTCCTCACATTTGGAAATGCCAGGGAAGAAAAGGACGTGGGCATACTTGTTCGTGGAAGGATGAAAAGGAGGCATGGGATGAAAATACTCAACTTGAAGTAATCGCATGACAGGGGATATATAAAGTGAAGTATTTTCAGTATACTTAGGGGAAGTGTGGATGCCCTTGTACAAGAGTCAGACACATACAGTTTCAGTAACTCATGTGCCAGTGGCGTTAGATTTGTGAAGATGACTAAAGAAGTGGGCAGACCCATTTACAAGGTGGAGAATAGAGCCGAGAAGGCTTACTTACCGTAAGAAATGAACCAGAGTACACATGTTCCCTCTGGGTTTAGACAGAGGGAAGGATTGTTCATGTTAAGTAACAATTCTGATGCAAGAGAAAATGTGTACAAACAGGCTATGAATAAATTTGGGCAGAAAATTAGAAATTTTGTAGCTGGAGCCCTCTTGTTTGGCATTGCAAGGATGAGGTGGGCCTGACCAGTGGGCCCCTCACTACAAGAAAGATGTTGCGTTGCTGGAACATGTCCAGAGGAGAGCCACAAAGCTGGTGAGGGGTCTGGAACACAAGTCATACGAGGAGCGGCTGAGGGAACTGGGTGATTTAGTCTGGAGAAGAGGAGGGGCATGGGGGTCGGCCTCTTCTCCCTCGTAACAGATGATAGGATGAGGGGGAATGGTTTGAAGCTGTGCCAGGGCAGGTTTAGGCTAGACATTAGGAAAAACTTCTTCACCGAAAGGGTTGTCAGGCTCTGGAATGGGCTGCACAGGGAGGTGATAGAGTCCTCCTCCCTGGAGGTATTTAAAAGAAGGATAGATGCGGTGCTTAGGGCCATGGTTTAGTGGTGGGATGGCAGGGTTAGGTTAAAGGTTGGACTCGATGATCTCAAAGGTCTTTTCCAACCAAAGTGATTCTATGATTCTATGATCCGGGGTTTGCATCCATTCACCTGCTGCTGGCCAGGGTTATCATCTCCCTCTCTGTACTCCTTGGTAAGACAATTTATTGACTCAGCTGTGCTCAGTACCAGGCAAGGCGATTTCTACACTGTTCAAAGAAGAGGAAAACCTTGCTGGGTGCTTGATTGTTCCAGGGATTCACGCCTGAGGGGCAGTTATGTTCCAAAACCTTTTGTAACAAAACCTTGTGGTAAAGGGACTTGAGATTGTTAAAAAAACGTGCTCCTTGTATAATTCTATATTAAGACTGTGAATGACAGCTCTACTGAGTAATCAGTATGGAGAAACAGTGTGCAGTTTTGGGTAATGAAGCAGCATCTGGCAATGGCAATTCCCTGTAAGCACACTTCTGCTAAACATGTGCAATGAGTTTTTAGGAGACGGGGAATCTACAGACGTGCTTCATGCTGGCATATATGCTTGAGATTTGACATCAGTCACGTAGATAGTTTCAGAAGAGTTTCCTGATGAGTACGTCTCGAGATAAACCAGAGTGATATTACAGGGGGAAAAAAGCAAAAGCTTTGTAGCGTGGAGCTTCCTTGTTAACATGCTGAGCATTAAACCAAAATTGGGATGAGAGCTGACATCGCAAGCAATGCCAAAAATTACATTAAATACCCATGAGTGCAGTGCAAGGCATTGGACAGTTCTGCGTGTTTTAGTACTTCTTGTCTCCTGAAGTACTAGTAGCCTGCTGGCATTATTCAGTACAGCTGACTGTTTCTCCTTTTAACAGTTGTTATTTGAGACAAGTCTTTTTATATAATGCAAGTCAGGTATTCTTAGCCTGTAGTGTATTGGGTAAGATGTTTCACTCTGTCTGTTCTCAGGTCAACTTTTTGAAGAAACTGAAAAATCTTTTTCTAGATTTTGCAGCTACTCAGAATTTGCTTGGCCACCTTCCCACTGATCGCTTCCTCCCCAGTGGGACATGCCATAAGAGGTCCTAAGGCCCATAGGAGGTCTGGACCCTTTTACAAGTCATGATTACATTGTGTGATGCACGTTAATGTCCTGCATCACATCAGCACTGTCTGAAAATAAACGCCAGGCTGCTGGGTGCCCCTGCTCACAGTGTCCAGCTGCCGTGCGGGTCTGAGGCTCCCAGAGGAGTATTTCTCCTCTCTGTAGAGGAATCTGCACACACACAGCCATCCAAATTCACTGAGCTAAATCAGGCAGTGTGTATGAATCCCTTTCTGTCTGTGCTCCAAGCAGTAGGTGTCAGTGTGCACCCATCATGAAGGGTGCAAGTGAAAAACAGCAGGGATCCTGAAGGAAACAAGAGAGTTGCTTTCAGTGGGATTAGTTTTCTGCAGAAAGAAGGTAGCTTCAAATCTAATGTACCACATTTAAAGGAAGGGTAACTGGATCTCTGCCTGTGAAAGCGTGAAGGTGTTGAGGAAACACTGAAAGCGTGATCCTCTGTGTGGTGGGACATCCCAATAACTAAGAGCACATCTCTTTATTTTTAAACTCATTATTTTCACATTTTATATGCAGATACAATCCTTCTCTTTTAGGGACGGTGTGTCGAATGAAGTAGCTGTCTTAAAATAGGTCCCACATGGGCCTGCAGTATTGCATGTTGCAGTGTGCAACAGTTGTGGAGAGTGAACAGTGGTTAAGACTATATAAATACCTATGAAAAAGGAATTTCCTAGGTCACAGGTTGGAATAATATATTTGGGATGTCTTCAGAAATTTCCCATCTGAAATGTCAAAGCCATTTAAACATCCTGTACTTTGCTGGAATGGTAAAATGGTAACAAGTTTTTGTATCCATTGAGGCTTTCTTACTGTGGTGCTTGGCTTTTAAAAAAACAAAAACAGGAAAAAAAAAAAAAAGCTTTGCTTCCTGAATAAAGTAGATGGATTGTAAATAAATGTCAGCAATGAGTGGCCTTAGTTCCAGACTGCAAGTATAGCTTGTGATTTAGGCCATTAAGTATGGTCAAGAATTAATTCATTGACTTCAGAAATTAAAACCCAGTCTGGGAAAATACCATGCCAGTAAGTCAGTTTGCTCTGGTTGATGTTTTCAACTTTGCTTTTTTAATACCTGGATGCTAATCCATTTTGCTCAATAGTGCTTTGAATGAAAAAAAAAACAGAAGAGGGGGTTTGATACCCAACTCAGTTATTTGCCTGCTGTTACAAGATGCCTGGCGTAGACCAAACAGGGTGAGGTATTGAGTGAGAGAATTCTCACTCCAGTGCATATCTTTTAAACCTAGAGAGTACTGGTTGGGGGTGCAGAGGAGATTTAATGTGCTTAAAGGTGATGGAAAATACCACCTTCCCATACTGGAGGTTGAAATGAAATGGGAAAAGTGGCCATGCAGTAGGAGCATGCCTTGCATGTGAAGCAAGATACTATCCAGAGCTGATGGGCCACCTCTGAAAGTGAGCAAAAGAGTTCAGTAAACAAGTTAGACAACACTGGGAAGTGCTAGAGGCCAGACTTCCCAAAAGGAAAAGTGTGAAGGCGGTAAGAAGCCAGTTCAAAAGTTTATAGCGCTTAAAACAGCTGTGTGCCTTCATGCAGGTTTTGTGGCTGGCTCTCTGAAAGTAAAAGTCCCCAGTACTGGAAAACCCCCTGCTGCTTTCTGTCACCTGAGGAGAACCTGTAATTTCTATCAAAAGTCTCCATTTCTCGGCATGCTCTGCAGCAGCTGGATAATTTAATAAAGATAATCTAGCTGTGGAGATAATTGACCGTATGTATCAGTGAAATGGGGCAGACATGAGGAGAAAATAATTAACTGAAGCAGAACATGAGTTCCTGTTGTCCGGATGATTTACGGAGCAAGGCAGCTGCCTGCGCAGGCGGGCATGCCAAGAGGGCTCTTCTGGGCATGGCTCGCCTCGCCTGCTCCATGAAGCATAAATCCAACGGCAGAGCGACTTTTGCCACCCAAGAAGTTTGGAAAACCCCGCAGGGTACACCCCGCCTGCCTGGTTGCTCTTCTGGGCTGTGAAATCCTTACAGGGCTGTGCCTTTCCCAGAGTTTCCTAACATGCTCGAGCACCTCCTGCTCTGTCCCTGGGCAGGCTCGAATCCTAAAGCCACTGTGTAACTCTCTGCCCTCCACCTTTGGTTTCAGATGTAAACTTCCTCGATGTAAAAAAGGTTGGTGCAGAGTAAATCAAGTGGTTTAGCAATGCATTTAAATTAAGCTTCAAAACACAACAGAAGGAAAGTTGCCAATTGTGGAATTAAAAGAAATTTAGTGTATCTGGAAAAACTCTGGTTTAAAATTGCCGTCTTACTGAGAGGGGGCTAATTAAAGAACATTAAAATATCACAGGGCTAAGAATAAAGTTAGATTCAGTATACAAGGAAGCAGTATTTAAAAGGGAAATATAATCAAATCAGAATGTCAGAGCTTTGGTTTGTAGTCATCCACTCAGCTGGCATGTAGCTGTAGACTTAGTTCCTTGTTATTTGTCGGTAATTTGAAAATCACCATATTACCAGCTCTCCAACAGAATCTGTATTGTCTGAGCACGGCTTTTCTAGATACCACAAAGTAATTGTTATGCAGATCTGCTTCATTATGAATTAGCAAGGTTAATGGACTTAAAACTGAATTGGTGTTAGTAAAGCACACAGTTAACTGAGAATTAGACAACTACAGAATGTATTGGGGTGTTAGGAAAACTTTTGACATTTTACTTAGATATTTTTGCAGCTTTATCTTTTGTTTCTTTTTTTTCACTACTTTTTGCGTAAAGAAGCTGGTGTGTTTTCAGTCATGATGCGAGTGGTTTGCAGATAGTTGGCCTTGAACACTGCAGACAGAGTTAATGGCATGAAGTTTCACTCAGGTGGAGTATCTAGCCTTTCGTGGTGTGAGACAGGAGTTTGCATTTTTGCACAGTATTAATCCTGTTGGAAATAGAGGGAAGAGCTGTTTCCTGACATCTTCTGTCTTGTCCGAGGGGTAGGTATACCTGCATCCTAGGGATGTTTTAAAAAAACAAGAATCCAAACAATCCTATCTCCCCCTCCACCACCACTTTCCTGCCATGAAAACAGAGAAGAAGGTTGCGATATGAAAGCCACCCCCACTGAGTATGGATTGCATGTAAATATTATAGAAAGTTGATACAATATTAACACTCCCACACATGTAGGAACTGTAGCTAGTGCATGAATTGTATCTTCTAACATGGTTTAGCCCACCACAGTAGCATCTTACTTGCTAATCCATCTCCCATGGGAGACCAGGTCTTAAAAAACCAGCTTTGGGCTGGGAAGAGGCCACATAGTTTATGTAAGTGAACAGGAAAGCAAGTAGGGTGCTTGAAATGTGTACTTCAAATTTCAAAGCCATCCAGTAGTTAATAGTCACGATGTTACGTGTGGGAAGAGATTTTGCACATTTTTTTTCCTATATGCAGATTGCATGACCATAATAATAAGTACAGTAATACTTGTTTGTACATCTTCTGTTCATTAAATCATCGGAATGACACAGCTGCTTGGGTGCTGTGCAGGTAATGTGGGATATACTGGCAAATCCGTGACTGCTTCCGTGCTGTGCCACTGCTCCGGGGACCTGTGCCTGGGCTGGAGACGAGCACCGAGTGGAGCCGGGACTGGGGGGGATGTGGGTGTTTTACCCACACCGAGGTGAAGACGCTGGCTCAGCCGAAGGAAGCTGAAGCATATTGCAAGTCTGATTTGCAGCTGGGTGTTCGTGGGGTTAGGCTGTTCTGTTAGTTTTTTTGAACTGGCTGTAAGTGGCCCCTCATTTACCCTTCTCATCCTCTGTCACCTGCCTTCTGCCGCAAGTGATGCTCAAACCCAGGAAAGCCACAGAGTGAGTGGTTTATCATCTGAGAGTGCTGCAGCTTCTCAGCTAGCTCTGGAACTGTACGGTGAAGTGCGAAATATTCAAGGGAAGCGGAGAGGAAACCTCTGGTTAGCGAAGGGAAGTCGGCTGTTGTTGGTTCTGCATTGAAACGGTTTGGGAGAAACCGGTAAAGACTGAAAGCAATGAATGGCTGTTTCGGCAGGAAGCATGCCTTGCATCCAGCCTGCCTCATACCATGGCCACACAGTGCCATTTTATTGGGATATATCAGCTAGTTGTACTGTTAAATCCTCTGCTGATACAGGGTTAAATCGAAATGAAACCCCTAGGACTGTAACTTAGGCAAGAAGTGTCACCTTATCTGCAGAGCCGAGTCAGCCTGGGGGAAGAGGGGGCAGGATGGGGCTCAGCTTGGCAGAGGGAGGAAAGCACTGACAGCTGTGCGAGGTGGCACGTCAGCTTGTTCAGAAGGGCTTTAAACAGCAAGCAATGACACCTACAGTCACGTCAGCTCTTCCTGAGCCTGAAAACAGACCGAGGGAGAAGGGAAAGAAAAGAGCATGCATTTTATTTCTAAAAATGTGAAGCAAAGAACATGAATGTCAGAGAGCGGCAGGAGGAGAACTGTGGAAAGCCTGTGTTTTGACTTTGTCCTCCGTTAATATTTAAAGATTCTCAAATATTAAGTCCCCTTTCACAGTGTATACATTTTCAAGTCGGCCTCAAAAGGCAAGGACTTTTGTGATGAGGCTAAAACAAGCTGCAGCAGCAGAAAGCTCGGAAGAAAGCAAAAAAATCTGCAATGCGCTGAGATTGAAATACTTTCCGTTAGACCTTGGCCTACTGCAAGGGAATGACAGGGAAATTAATTCTTGAGGATATTGGCATTGTCAAAATGTGCCACGTCACCATAGGAGTGAAAATTCCTTAAGGGGAAAACTTGTGGCATGTGCATGCAATTGTTGTTGAGGCAGCTCAGACCTTTAAGTCTTAGTGCTTAGTCTTAGAACAAGGGGGTTTAAGACCTTACTGTGATAATTAGAACT